CCCATGGTGCCGTCCCATCCCTGTGGCCAGTCCCGGCCCCTGTGCCCATGTCCCCAATCCCATCCGTGTTCACTCGTCCTGTCCCATCCTTGGGGACCCCACGGTCACCCAGTGCCATCCTGTGTCCCCTCATGTCCCTGCTCCCTTCCTCATCCCCCTGTCCCATCCCGGTGCACCCCATGGTGCCGTCCCATCCCCAGGGCCAATCCCGGCCCCTGTGCCCGTGTCCCCAATCCCATCCTTGTCCACTCGTCCTGTCCCATCCCTGGGGACCCCACGGTCACCCAGTGCCATCCTGTGTCCCCTCACGTGCCCTCGTGTCCCTGCTCCCATCCCAGGGCACCCCATGGTGCCGTCCCATCCCCAGGGCCAGTCCTGGCCCCTGTGCCCATGTCCCCAGTGCCATCCATGTCCGCTCATCCTGTCCCATCCCTGAGGACCCCAGAGTCCCCTGTGGTCCCCCTGGCCACCCTGTGCCATCCTGTGTCCCCTCATGTCCCTGCTCCCGTCCTCATCCCCCTGTCCCATCCTGGGACATCCCATGGTGCCGTCGCATCCCTGTGGCCAGTCCCGGCCCCTGTGCCCATGTCCCCAATCCCATCCTTGTCCCCTCGTCCTGTCCCGTCCTTGGGGACCTGACAGTCCCCTGTGGTCCCTTAGTGCCACCCTGTGTCCCCTCATGTCCCTGCTCCCGTCCTCATCCCCCTGTCCCATCCTGGCACACCCCATGGTGCCGTCCCATCCCCGGGGCCAGTCCTGTCCCCTGTGCCCATGTCCCTAATCCCATCCTTGTCCACTCGTCCTGTCCCATCCTTGGGGACCCCACAGTCCCCTGCGGTCCTCCTGTGGTCCCCCAGTGCCATCCTGTGTCCCTTCATGTCCCCTCGTGTCCCTGCTCCCATCCACATCCACCCGTCCCATCCCAGGGCACCCCATGGTGCCGTCCCATCCCTGGGACCAGTGCCAGCTCCTGTGCCCCCCGTCCCATCCCAGGGCACCCCATGGTGCCCTGTCCCATCCTTGGGGACCCCACAGTCCCCTGCGGTCCTCCTGTGGTCCCCCAGTGCCATCCTGTGTCCCTTCATGTCCCCTCGTGTCCCTGCTCCCATCCACATCCACCCGTCCCATCCCAGGGGCACCCCATGGCGCCATCCCGTCCCGGTGCACCCAGTGGCACCGTCCCATCCCCGACGTCCCCAACGTGTCCCCGCAGATGTGCAACCTCCTGGAGTTCTTCTGCGACCAGGAGCTGCAGCACCGCGTCGAGGCCATCGTGGCCTTCTCGGAGCGGCACGTGGAGCGGCTGCAGCGCGACCAGCGGCGCCGCTACGGGCAGCTCATGCGGGCGCTCACCATGTCGGGAGGCGGCGCGGGGCACGCGCGAGTGCCGCTCGCCCCCGCAGGAGCAGGTGACGGTGACGGTGACAAGGGGGGGACACGAGGTGGTGGCCGTGTCCTTGACCTCGTCTCTGTCCCCCTGGTGTCCCCAGATCAACATGTTGCTGCAGTACAAGGCGGGGGCGGACGAGGAGGAGTGTCCCGTGCCCGAGGACATCCGTGACGAGCTGCTGGATTTCCATAATGACCTGCTGGCGCATTGCGGTGAGCACGGGGACACCCTGGGGACACCCCGGGACACTCTGGGGACACCCCGGGGACACCCCGGGACACCCTGGGGACACCCTGAGGACACCCTGGGGATGCTCTGGGGACACCCCGGAACATCCTGAGGATGCTCTGCGGACACCCTGGGGACACCCCGAGGACACCCCGGAGACACCCTGGGGACACCCTGGGGATGCCCTGGGGACACCCTGGGGACACCCCGGGGTCACCCTGGGAACGCCCTGGGGATGCCCTGGGGACACTCCGGGGACACCCTGGGGACACTCCGGGACATCCTGGGGATGCTCTGGGGATGCTCCGGGGACACGCCAGGGACACACTGGGGACACTCCGGGACATCCTGGGGACACACTGGGGACATCCTGAGGATGCTCTGCGGACACCCTGGGGACACCCTGGGGATGTTCTGGGGACACCCTGGGGACACCCTGGGGACACTCCGGGG